TACGAAGCCCTTGGTAGACGGGATTTACATCGATGGCTCGGTTAAGTGTGCCCGTCGAGGGCCAACTTTTCAGCACTGGTCTGGCCATTTTTTCATCGGCCCTGCCGATCTCCCTCGCCTTCTCAAAGGCGAAGGTGGGGTTCAGCTATTGCACGTGACCGTAGACCAAAGACGGCTTTTCTTTGCGATTGCTTTCAAGTTGATGTTCGTGCAATCGTGTGTCCAAGCGTTTGCCCGTTTCACCAACATACCTCGCATCGTGATTTTTGCATGGTAGATTATCATGCCGGCTTTTGAACGGTCATTTGCACTAACTACGTCCTTTAAAATGGCTATTTATGATTTTCAATGTCCCCATAAATGTAAATATAATTTATAGAAAACACGTTCAAAAGCATTATTGCTTGTACTCCTTGAATAGAAAATTACACCTTAAAATTTTATACTTGAAGAAGAGGTCTGCTTCGGCTGTAAAAAGCTTATTCTCAGTTTCTGAATTATTTTGGGCTCGACATGCCAAGACACCTGCAGCCAGGGCTGCGAAGATGCAACCTACATAGATTCCATGTAAGGAGATTGACACATTTCTCCACGTTATTAGAACTACGTCATATAGTGATTGGTGCAGGTGGACCCTATTGCGGCCTTTATATGCAGCGGGATTAATTGAACAGATGCGGAGATTTATGAATGAATATTTCAGGGTCTTCAAAAATCTCATACTTGCAAACCTCTTATAACTCAAATATACTGCCACTTCAAGTCAGCAATGCGAAGAAGGCCCACCAACCGACTTCTATCAACCGAGTACAAGAAAAAGTATTTGTGAGCGTGTTTTTTGTTTATACATTATATTCTGATTTATAAGGACATTGAGGATCAATGGAAAAAAAGTCGTACGAAATAAGTAACCACTTTTGATAGAGTGTAGTTTTTGCACAGTCAGAACGAATTTCGACCAAAACAGGCAGCTTGACGTGACTTAAAATCTCGCGGTCATGTTGCATATTATTTAGTTTGAAGAAACTAGTATAGTGATCTTTACGAATGAAAACCTACTTTAGAATATCGGCTGACATTTGATGGGGTAGGACGTCTACTGTACAACATATAGTAGTTTGGAACTGTTTCGGAGCTCACCAACTACTATTCGGTCACTAGTCCGGCTGTGGATGAAGAGGTCCTGCTTTGAGGGGATGAGAGTAACGGTTCAACCTTAACATCTG